CGCATCATTGCTGAAGAAGCTAATGCTCCCAACCAAGCCCTGAAGAGTAACATCCACGCTGGTGGGGAAAGTGTTCCAGGCAGCAGGTCAGAATGGTGCTGCACTGCACACCATGGTGGTTCTGCAGGCGTACCAGGCTAACCTGCTGAAAGATTTGAGCACGTGCTGGGGCATTGATGAGGAGGCATTTTTAGAACTTCGCCAGGCTACAGATCTGTCTCTCTGGGCAACCAAGCAGATGGTCAGCGCCATCGGCCGTTCTATAGCTGCTATGGTCACCATGGATAGGCACCTGTGGCTGAACCTCATGTGCATCAAGGACAGGGACCGGACGTTCCTCCTTGATGTCCCTGTGTCACCTTCCGGCCTGTTTGGCGGCTCCGTTAATGCGGTTGTCAGTAAGTTCCAGGAGGAAAAGAGGCTCTCGTAAAGTTTCTTCCGGCAGATAAGGCTCACTCTGCGGGGTCTTCGTACTCTTTCTATGTGGTTCAGACCCTGGTTTCTCCCCTGCCGTGCTCCAGCATCGGGGCTGTCGGCCACCCAGTCCTGACCAGGTCCGGATTCTCTGAGACGAGAAGCCCAGAAGGAGAGTGTGGTTATTTGTGCACCTCCTCGCCAAGACGGTGGAGCGAGTAGACAAGGAGCCACAAACCACCAAGGAACCAGACCTGAGAATGGTCTAGAAAATGGCTACAGGATACAGTTTGAGCATCGTCCTCCGCATTTCAACGGCATGATTTTCACTGCTGTGAAACCGGAACAAGAGCATTTGTTGACACAGGAATTGCAAGCTTTGCTGGACAAAGGGGCCATAGAACATGTTCCCCTCCCAGACAGAGAGTCGGATTATTGTAGCTGAAATTTCCTGGTTCCCAAAAAAGATGGGTGGTTGCATCCAATTCTGGATCGTTGTGGTTTGAGTCGCTACCTCAGAACATACAAGTCCAAAAAGCTGACAATCAAAATGATTGTATCAATGATCCAATCCAGTGATTGGTTTGTGACAATCGACCTCAAGGATGCATACTTCAATATAGAATTTTTGCCACAACACAGGAAGTTCCTGAGGTTCGCTTTTGGGGGCGAAGCTTACCAGTGTCGGGTTCTTCCGTTTAACCTAGCCTTATCACCCCACACATATACAAAACGTATGGATGCAGCACTGGCTTCTCTGTGACTCCAGGGCATCCGAGACCATGAATTACATGGATGACTGGCTGATTTTGGCCCAGTCTCAAGAACTTGTGCTTCGACATCAGGATGTTGTCCTTGCTCATCTCAAATGTCTGGGGTTGAGACTCAATGCCAAGAAAAGCATTCTCTCTCGTGCCCAGAGGACAATTTATTTGGGGGTTGTATAGAATTCGATCACAATGCGGGCACCTCTCTCCTGCAGATGTCAAACCCATTCTAAACACACTAAAGAATAGCAAGATAGGCCAGAAAGTTGCTGTCCATTACTTTTTTCTAAGTTTCATGGCAGCTGCATCCACGGTGATACCTTTGGGCCTCCTGCACACGAGACTGTTTCAGTTGTGGCTCAGAGCCAGGGGATTTCATCCAAGGGCAAATCCCCAGAGGCAGATAAGGGTCACGTTGTGGGGTCTTCATACCCTTTCTATGGGGTCTGAACCACATAGAAAGGGTATGAAGTACTTCCTCCAGCAGTTAAGGGACTACCATGTTCAAGAGCGTGTGCACAACACTGCGGTAGTCTCTTATATAAATCACCAAGGCGGACTGAGTTCAAGCCACCTGAACAGGCTAGCACATCAGGTTATGCTTTGGGCACAGGACAAGTTCCTGTCCCTCAGGGTGATTTATATTCTGGGACATATGAATGTTGGAGCAGACTTGCTGTCCAGACAAGCTGTGACACACAGGGAATGGAAACTCCACCCCAAAGTAGTCAGTCAAATTTGGGAAAGGTTTTACTAAGTAGTAGAGGTGGACCTCTTTGCTTCACAGGAGACAGCACAATGTCCCCTCTACTTCTCTCTGACTCCTCCAGCTCCCCTGGGTCTGGACACAATGGCCCATACGTGGACCAGACTGCGTCTTTTCACATTTCCCTCAATCGCTCTGCTCCCGGGTGTCCTGGCCAAGGTCCATCAACAAGGGTCTCACCTCTTACTAATAGTGCCTCATTGGCCGACCAGAGTGTGGTTCTCAGTCCGATCAGGAGAGTTCTCCTGCAGGGGACTGTGTTTCATCCCTGGCCGGGCTCTGGAACATTCATGTCTGGCCCCTGAAAGGGACCAACTAAGAGATGATGGGCTTCCATCCAATGTAGTACAGACTATTCTAAGTTATGCCCTCAGATGGCACATTTTCTAAAGTTGGTGTATGACGCACCGTGCAGACCCAGTACACTGCCAAGTTGTTTCAATGCTGGAGTTCCTGCAAGAAAAACTGTCCTCAGGTACAATTGCTAGAACTCTCAGTGTCTATGTGGCTGCCATTTCGGCTTGCCATGCTCTGATTGATGGGGTCCCTGTAGGAAAGCACCCTCTAGTCACCCAATTATGGAGCTAAGTGGTTGAGGCCGCCCACCAAAGCGACAGTCCCTTTGTGGCACTTAGCTGTAGTGCTCAAGGGTCTGGTTGGGACCCCTTTTGAACCACTAGAGTCAGTGCCTGTCAAGCTTCAGACTCTGAAGATGGTTTTTCTCATGGCTATCACTTCTCTAAAGAGAATGGGGGATTTACAGGCTTTGTGAGACTGTAAATATGTGCCCTGAAATTCGGGAATGAGATGCTGTGCCTCATTGCCACATTGTAGACGTGTCTGGTCGCCCCTTCATACAAAGGTATAACTTGAAGGACACACACATCTATTTATAACCTTTCAGGTGCACACATTCCAATGACGTCACAGACTGAGGTTATTTAAGCCAAATTCTTGGCGTGTTTGACACACATGCTTCACAACAAGTCAAACAGAGAATGTTCTCATCAGCGTTAATAAAATGCAGTATCTCGTTCCCACATTTTCAGGGAGCAGGGTTACAGTCAAGTAACCCAAGACGTGTACCATAAATGCCTTGTTTACTGCAGAGACTTTTGGTATGTTCAGTACAGCATACTAATACACTATTCTTACTGCAGTATATGGTATGTATACTGAGCATAATATACATATTTTTGTTTGGGTGGTTTGGATCTGACCAGCACCCTTGGCGTTTAGTTGCTCATCGTATCTATGATGTGTGCTATGCAATGAAATCCAAGAGGTTTGATTGGCCAGAATTGGTAATTATAGGCTATTGGTTATTTAAAAAAAAAAAAAATTTACATTTGTTGTAATTTACATTTACATTTACATTTATAGATATTCTTTTAGCAGATACTTGATTTACATTTATAGATATTCTTTTAGCAGATACTTGTGAAAAAGAAGTGCACTTAACCCTCATATTCTCCTCTTGCACACTATAAACTCCTGGTGTTTACAGAGTGATTCACAGAACAATTGTATAAAAAAATATACATTTTTAATAATGCAATGATGATTTTTTTTATTTACAATACTTTTATGCTGTGTTTTGGGGGGTCTGTGATACTTTTTTTACCTATTTACCACAAAACTCCTTTACACCTTTAGTTTGCATATGAAATATAAACTTTGGAATTAATATATATATTAATATATATATATATTTTTTTATTACTATTTAATAAAATTACTTTATTGATGATCTAATTTGTTTCTAGGTGTTACTGCCATCTGCTGGTTAGAAAAAAAACTGTAGGAAAAGTGTTTGACAATATACTGTATATCAGAGGACCTTATCCATTCATTTTTTCCTATATGTGGCCCACTGCTCCTATCGTTTTTGGTATAATTAGTGAAAAAAAAACACATAAATAAATACAATAATATAATATATAAAATTATAAAATACATTAAAATCTGTTTTATTTTCAGAGGTTAGAATTTGTTGGTGTTGATGTTTGAGGTATTTTGAAGTGTCTGCTTTAGCAATAATGCCATAAATTAGCAACAAAATATAACTAAAACACCACTAAAAGACAGGTAAACATTGTTAATGCAATAAATTGCAACTTCATCATTACAAATGGGCAATTACAAATATATTTAAATACATGGCAAGTTTAAATAGAAATTACATTAGAGTATATTTTAGTTTCCATAATCAGTACATTTAACAGTACATTTTAGCTATATTTTAAAGACAATAGAAGTAATTATGAAATTATATAAAGATGTACTCAAGTCATACTTAAGTAGAAAAAACACTCTAATTCATCTAACTGTATTTAACATAAATTTAAAATGTAATACATCTTCATTACAATTAATGTGATTAAGCCTCCGGAAACTACATTCAATTCACACTTAAATAATTTTCTTAACTTAATTTTCTTAGTAGGTTATATTATTTGTTTAATAAGTACATAAAAGTATGCTAAAGAGAAGAGTAATGCGAGTAGAAGCATTAAGTTTAATATTATCTTCTGTGCTTCAAAATGTGATGGGCCGTATAGAACAGAGCCTTCAATTGTTCTGTCATTGAATAAGAGATTAGTGAGAGTGAAACAAGTAAAGAGAGTTGTTACACAAATCTACCTCTCTAGTGTCGTTATATTAGCTCTAGGCATCAAATACCTAATTTTATGATATATATTACAATACACGTTTGGATTCAATACATCGACGATACATCGAATGGTACAGAATGTTTCCTATATTTTCTGCTCTTTGCTGTTGAAAAGGTGAATTTCCATTCTTTCCATTCACAAACTAAACAATTACAAAATGAAACAGATTTCTCAGAAAAGCTTTATTCCATTTTATCCTTTATACAAGGGGTTTAAAAATGATTATGTTAGAAATAAGTGTTAGCAGGTGTAGGGCTTATGCAAGATATTATACACCTTTACTCAACGGTTAACTGAACAGTTCCATGGAGCAGGATCCCATCCCTGCCAAAAGAGGTGGGGTTAAACCTCGCAATCACTTACAATTGTCATTCAGCTGCTGGTGAAAACAGTGCTTCTTCTGTTTCCTGACTGAAACACCTTTTCTTACAGGTAAGAGTTCTGTTACAAATGCTTATTACAGGGAATGGGTACTTAAAAAAAATCTTATTTTACTCATGATTTGCCTATAGATTTACAATGAAAGTAACAAGTGTAAATTATTTATTTATGCACTACACTAACTGAGTATGGTGCTCACCTGCCTTTATTGGACTTTGACCTCTTGGTGAATGTTTAGTGATAAGGCAGCAAGATGAAACTCTGAACATGAAACACCAAATGAAAGCTGAATACACAGGACGTTCACAGAATTCACAGATATATATATATATTATTATTATTTCTAAAAAGTGCAAATGAACAAAAGACAGAACACACACCCACATCATGAGCAGTCTCAAAGGCTTTTTTTAATGTGGTTTGTTTAGTGTATTCATACAATAATTTGTGCAAATATTCTCCTTTGCAAAAGAGTCCTTATTACGGGCATAATATACATTAAAATAATATACTTATTCACAAACTAAATGTAATGATTTTGCACACTTCATTGCATGTTAATTGAAAATGAATTAACATTTTTGTTCTATTGTCTTGGAAATATGGACAAGCTTTTATATGATCAACTAAAATATACTTTGATGTAATTTTTATTGAAACACCCACTGTTATATATTTAAATATATTTGAAATTACACATATAGTGAATTTAGTATTTTTTTTAAAGATTATTTTAACTTTAAATGTAAGAATAAGACACTACAGTTAAAATTATATCCCATTACTTTACATGTGCTTTAACATATTAGTCAACATGAAATAAGCGTACATCTTTAAAACACACACAGCAGTGAGTAGTGAACACACACACACACACACACACACACCGTGAACACACCCAGAGCAGTGGGCAGCCATTTTTGCTGCGGTGCCCGGGGAGCAGTTGGGGGCTCACCTCAGTCGTGGTATTGAAGGTGGAAGCGAGCGCTGAACATTCACTCACAAAATGCAGATGTACATCATTGGATGTTTATCCGAAGCATTTTTATTTATTTATTTTTTATTTTTTTACATTGCGTTTTGTGATTTCACTGAATAGCAATTTGCCACAGCTGTGACGTATATAATACCAAATTCCAGCACTGGATTACCACACATTATAACACACAGATATAATAAAAACTTGGTGGGGACAAATTCAGACTTGGCACTGTAAATTATGCTTGGGCCTATCCAACCCTCTACGCACACCTTGGCAATATAATCGCCATTGGCTAGTACATTTTTTGGTTTACTCGCCAGACTGATATACTATTTTACACACACACACACACACACACACA